GGACTTGATGGATCCAGAGGACGTTTTTTTGCACACTTCCCTTGAAATATATCTATTTACACTTGCCTGCAACACACACAGTCAAAACACTTTGCAGAACTATCTTGTAAATCTCTTTTGAGACGTCCTCCCGACCTGGAAGACGTTGAATCAAATGCCAAGTATTATTACTGTATTTCAGCTGAGCAATCGTTCTTCCCCGGAGCAGTAAAGCGTTGTTTGCATCTGGAATCGTGGCCAATTGCGTAACTGACGATGAGCCATCATTTAAGTGCAAGCTCAGCTCCGTTCCAAAGGGAAGTGCTTAACCCAGTCCAGATTTTTTTTTTGTCTACTAGTTTAATACTGCATGTACAACTCCTAGCCGTTTTTTTTTAAAAAAAAAAAATCCCCTCCGCTGTGTCTTATTTTTTACCAAAGCTTCCAATTCTAGTTTCTCTGCAGTTAATGGGCGAATCCTGGTGTGAAGGGAGATGGCTAAACGCTTCTGGATGATTTTCGAACGCTACGCTCATCAGTCAGATTTCAGGGGTTGTCGATTGCTGCGGTGGGCTGGGGTAAATTGAACTGAGGCGCATGTATTCAGTTGCAGTGCGCGCTCAATCTATTTTGATACAAGCGCGAAGCGGAGATGGGTTGCAGTTGAAGGTTATTTTTTGTAAAGTAATGTTACTGTGGTTCCTGGAACGTACAGTGAGATCAGCTGGCTCCTCCCAAGTGTCGGGCCTGGCACTTAACCCGTGTAATCAATTGTTCTTTGCTGGGTGAAGCGATTTGTACACGAGGCAACCAATGCATCTGATTTCATGGTGCTTAAAAGTACTTACAGAGCAATTAAAGATTAAATCGAATGTTTACCTGAAGAGCCAGAGCTGGAGAATGCAAGTCTCCTGGGAATATGGGTTTAGATCTGCCAGACAGCACTATCAATGGCAAGCTATGTGGTTTTAGTTGGTTATCGTGTCCCGCAAAATCATGGAGTGAGTGACCCAATTTTTTTTTTAAACCAAATTATTACCGCCGGAAAGCGATCTGACAATTGACTAACAACTGGGTACCTACCATTGCTAATCGGATCAGCTGTTCTTATGATTGCCACCTCTTTTCAGCAATCTGCAGGACTGCACCCCCCGCACACACCCCCACCACCGCTTATATCAGTGAGTGGGTTAAAAGCTTCAGTACTTTATGAAGTAATATCATCAAAACATGTTTGATCTGTACTTCAAACAAGGTCATGCCTCATGATGTCGGAGGTTACCTTTGTGTGGAAATCCCCACATTACCGATGCCATCACTGACGGAAGGAAAACAAACACGTATTTTGTTTCAGTTCTGGCGGGATATCTCTCTTTAGCACATTGGTTTTGTTCATCATTCACCGGGTAAGATGCTAATGAAAGGGGAATGTAAATTCGGGGGGACAGAAGCATTCGTTTCTCTCCCTCTATCCTTCAACATTGTTATTTCTGCTCTTGGATGATAAAATGAACCAAACGTAGATGGGAAACAAAATCTGGGAGGAATAACAGTAATAATAATCCTTGCATTTGATATAATAATAATAATAATAATCCTTGCATTTGATATAGCGCTTTTCACGTCGGGAGGACGTCCCAAAGCGCTTCACAGAACACACTGTAAAGTGAATTGACTGTATATTTGTGGGCGAACGCGGCAGCCAATTGCGCACAGCAATGTCCCACAAACAGTCGTAGATTGAAAATGACCAATTTAATTATTGTTTTTTTTTTTTTGAGGGATTGTTATTAGGCTCTGTGTGGAGTAAGGAAACTTGCCCAAGGTTTCGCCCTCTGCCTGGAATTGAACTCAGGTCTCTCACTTGCAAAGCGAGTGCTCTAACCACTGAGCTACAGGACTCCACGCGCCTCATCGCGTCTTCGAGATGTCTCAAAGTGCTTCACAGTGAATTAACTGTATATTTTGTGGGCGAAACGTGGCAGACAATTGCGCACAGCAGCGTCCCACAAACAGGCGTGGATTGGGTGACCCAATTATTATTTATTTATGAAGGGATTATTACCCTCGGAAAAGCGATCCCGCCAATTGACTGACAACTGAGTTCCTACGAAACGCATATTGTTTGCAGGATAATAACATAACAAGAATACACTTTCTTCCAAATTCTTTCGCCCGTCATTTATTCCTGCTGGAGATATTTGGGAGCAAGAAGATTCTTCCAGTGTCCCGAGCCAATATTTCTCCGTCGATCAATTTCATGCACAAAATCGCAGATTAGTAGATCGTGGGTTATTGCCGTCATAGATTAGTTGCTGCGTTTGCCAAAACGGCCTTCACTACACATCAACCTAATGCGCCTCGTGGAGTGTTTTGTCGCATTGTGGCAGGATCGAGCACAGGATCACCGCAAGCATTTATTTTACATGGAAGAGTGGACGCAAAATGGCATTTCTCCACCTGAATACCGATTGGGGACCTGGAAGAAACGAGGAATTTGCAGAAGGCTTGAGTTAGCTGAGCGCAGGGGATGAGCCGGGGAGTGGGGACGGAGAAGATCACAGAGGTGATCTTGGGGAGGTTCTCGGGTGTGAAAGAGCTTAGAGATGAAGTCATTCGATCCATTGGGGGAGACAGGGAACCAATGGAGCCTGGTGACCTGGTGAGACGTGGGACTGTGTGTGGAGATGGCCCAGACTCGTTTTACATAACACCGTTAGGTGAACCAGATTCCAGCCTATTGACAAAGTGGCAGTGCGTGATTCAGTGGCTTATTTTACATTTCATGTTTCCAATTGCAAATGGATGTGAGATTAAGTTATCCTTAATTTGATATAGTGCCTTTTACATCAAGAGAATGTCACGAAATGCATCACGGGATATACGGCCTTAAGTGCAATGAATTTGTGGGCAGTTTCAGCACAGAGGCGTAATAACATAACAAGGATACGCTTTCTTCAGAATTCTTTCGCCCGTGATTTATTCCTGCTGGGGAAATTTGGGAGCGAGAAGAGGCGAAATTAAGTCAGTTTTCAAAAAGAGGCGAAATGTAAGTCGATTTGCAGACAGCGACACCCAAGAAACAGCCGTGAAGGGAAAGGGGGCAGAGGTCGTTGACCATGATATCAAGAGAAACTCCCTTCTCATTTCGAACAGTACCGTGGGACCTTTTTATGTCCGCCTGAACAGGCAAGCAGGACCCTAGTTTAACATCTCATCTGAAGGACAGCACCTCCAGCAATACAACACTCCCCCCCCCCCCCCCACAGCCCCACCACCCCCTCCAAATGGAGTGTCAGCCGAGGATATCGGTTCAAAGTCCCACCGAGGGACTTGAACCCATATTCTTCTGCACGCGAATTAGCAAGCGTATTCACTGGCACGAGAAAAACGTACAGGTCTTGTCACACCGAGGCCGGTGCTGCTTGCCACAGCAGCGTGCTTCCGTTTCAGCTTGCTATTAAATTAAAAGAACCGTGCTCCACGCAGTAGTTTAATCCTTATTAAACCGTAATATAATGTCAATTTGAATTAAGCGTGCCTGCGTAAAAGTGCCTCCAGTGGCTTGGATGCTGCTCAATTCAATCAGCGTCCAAATCACTATGTGAAAGTCTGAATTCTTTGAGTAGCGGGCGGATAGGAGGAACTGACATTGCAAATTGCAAAATATTAGACTTCATTAAATATCCTGTGTGATCTCCAGCCCTTTTAGTAGGACCATTAGCCCAAAGTGGAAAATGGAGACGAGAAGCACATTCAAAATTCACTTAGGGCCCAGAGGCATGCAGATCGGGAAGTAAACAAAGCGAGTCTAGGGTAGGAGCCTTTTAAGAGAGGATGCATTTGCAAGCCTTCATTTGTGCGCCTGTCTTATCAAGAATTTATAATTGCGTGCAGGGTTATCCAGCACTCTTTCCAGCCCGGTGTCAGACTGGCTCATTCGGTAGAACTCCCGAGTCGGAGGGGTTGCGGGGTTCGAGCCCACGCGTCAGGGTTTGGAACTCACAGGGTCAAAGCTGACGCTCCATTGCAGTGCTGGGGGTGTGCTGCATTGTCAGGGGTGCAGTGCTTCGGTCTGAGATGTTAAACCGATGTCCCATTTGCCTGTGTAGGGTGGATGTTAAAGATCCCACGGCATTATCTGAAAAGAAAAAGGGAGAGTTTCTCCTGGCGTCCTGGCCAACAGTCCCCTGAAATAAAGCAAATTTGCGCGCGTATAGCACTTCTCATGTTGGGAGTTCACCTCAAGGTCTGACTCACTCCAATCGATGGCTGCTTACGGGACATTGTTGTGCACAGACTGGCTACTGAGTTCACCCCCGCTCCACCTTGTAGGATATTGTGTGAAACCCTTTGAGATGTCTTGACGATGTGATCGGGTGCTAATTGAAATGCAAGGGTTATTCTCCTCCTGTAAGAACAGGTATGAATGAGGTATGGAATTCATAGGAATGAGGTATGAATTCAGACAATATGACTGCAATGGTGACAAAATTGGTCTGGTCCTAGACTAGTTTTATACTCAAAACAGCTGTGGCTTCTCATCGAAACGAACAGACAATGAAAGGCCCTCCACAGGGGGGTTTGTATTTTGATTTTGTTTCCAAAATTTCCTGTGGGATTTCTTTTTATTGATTAATACTCATGTTGAGTTTGGCTTTGCTGTATTTACCGAGTCCCGAGTGGCCACAGTGATTTGCGATGTGGGAAATGCAAACACTACTAATAGTTTGAGTATTGCTTCGAGGTTGTTTTCAAGACAGAGAACGGCAACTTGCATTTACATCGCCCTCCCTTCACACGGGATAACATCTCGTGAGCGCTGGGGGAAGAGAGAGATGTTCAGCTGTTGACTTTGTTTGCCCAATAATGTGAAATTGTTCTACTCATAAGCAAATAAATAAGTTATTTCAGTTGCAGACATTAATTTTATATTTCAGCTGAATCCAAATCTCTGGTTTTGAAAAGACATTCAGTGATTATTTATTTATTTATTTGTTTGTTTTTTTAACCTCTTTCAGTACCGTAACATCTGCTGTCTTCACTGTGGCGGATAATGTTGTATCGGGAAGTGATGACCGAACTGTAAAAGTCTGGGATCTCAAGAACATGCGATCTCCTATAGCAACCATACGTACTGACTCAGCAGTAAACAGGTAAATGGTTATTTTTAAATGCACTTCCGTATGTCAGATTAAGGATTTCACGCCTTCACGCACATTTGCCGCTTCCTGATAATCCTTGCATTTGATATAACGCTTTTCACGTCTTCGAGACGTCTCAAAGCGCTTCACAGAAAGCGAATTGACTGTCTAGTTGTGGGCGAAGTGCGGCAGCCAATTGCTCGCAGCGGTGTCCCCGCAAACAGTCGTGGGTTGAAATGTCCTGGGATGAAAGAGTTTTTTTTCTCTCTCTGACTAAAGAATCTGAAGGGCGCGGTGCATCCACTCTGCTCAGGAATGTTCTGCATCGAATAGTTTTGTCTTCCCAAAAGTAATCCGATAAAGTGGTTCAAAAATGTTCATCCATCCTCCCTTTGTTTCGCCTTAATGTCATTGTCTCCCCGTGGCTTTTTATGGGATTTTGATGTGTGCAAATTGACTTTCCCATTCACCTCCAAATACTTTCACCCCACTTTACAGTATATCCTGTGAGGCGCTTTGAGACGGCTCGACCTCATGATAAGGCGCTGTACTAAATACAGCGAGTATTATTATCCTTGCTATTGATTTACCTGCCTGTAATCTATCTTTGTATCCTTCAATCCTGTTCCCAGCCGGATCCTTATCTGATCATTGTCAACTATAGGGTATGGGGAAACAGGAGGTAAATGGTACTGAAACGCTTGCTCTGTAAAAAGGGCCAGCACAGACAAGAACAGCTGAATGACCTTCCATGGTATCAATTTCTATGTATTTTCTGTCGAAAAATAAACACAGCATCAACTACTGATGTTAGGTTCTTGTTTCCTATGTAATGTGATGCAGGATCCAAACAGCAGTAGTTGATGCTGTTTTTGACGGGAACACAGTTTATTATGTTATAGGAGCAATGTGGAGAGTACTAAATCAGTTAGGGCACGCTAGGGGCAAATTTCCGATACTCTTTGGAGAAAATATACAAATAATCTTTGTTATTTGAAACCTACGTCCTTCAGTTCTGCTCCCAAGCAGTAGGTGTCAATGTTGATTACCAGAGCTTTGGACGCAGACACAGAGATTGCCTCAATTTTGGAGCAAGAAATGTTTTGACGCTGTTTTCTGCTTTATTTCTGGAAGCCATTTCAGATCACATCCAGCAATACAATACAATTTAAGTTTACACATCATCTTTCACATCAGCAGCGCATCTCAAAAGGGCTTAACAGTGCTGGATGGGCCCCCAACAGTTGCAAAAATACTTAAATTATGAGGAGAAGCAACTAGACTCAGCTGGTTTCCATTATTAAGAGGGGAGGGGAGACTGAGGACATCATTCCAGGACTTTTGAATGATGAGAAACAAAACTGATGCAGATATGATACTGCATCTGATGTTCCTTTCACGTCAGGAGGACGTCTCAAAGTGCTTGACAGGATTTTACTGCAAAGCGCAGTGGCCGTGTATTTTGTAGGCAAACCCAAAACTTTTAGTTAGACCGCAAGCTGGAACTCGAGGGGTCATGATTAAGATTGGGAAAGACCTCAAGGCTGTGTGCCCTCTGAACTGGGGGACGATTGGGGGGAGAAAATGCAATTGAACCTGGATAATCGTCAAAATGCAGCAAACCACCCCCCCAACCTCTTCTGCTCCATCCTCCCCTGTAGACACTTGAAATTAGTGGATATTTGAGAATCCACTTTTATTTTTGTGGAATTTGTTTTTCGCTCAATACCTGGTGTATTCTTGTACATTTCCTTCAATATTTTTCATGATAATCCTTCCATTTGATATTGCGCCTTATCACGTCTTTGGGTGGGGGTGGGGTGGGGGTGGGGTGGGGGAGGCACCATCCTTTGGGTGAGATGTTAACCCAAGGCCCTGGCTGCCTGATCAGGTGGGCAATAGACCATCCCGAGACACTATTAACAATAATAATAATCTTTGCCTTTGATATAGCGCCTTATCACGTCTTCGAGAAGTCTCAATGGACTGTAAAGTGAATTGTATATCTTGTGGATGAAACTCTGCAGCCAATTGCGCACATCGGTGTCCCACAAACAGTCGTGGACTGAGTGACCAAATTAGTTTATTTTGTAGAAAAATTTGAAGGAATTATTACCCCTGGAAAAACGATCCGTCAATCAACTAACAACCGGGTTCCTACTTACTGCTAGATAAGCAGAGGCTTGTGGAGTATGGAAATTTGCCTAAAGTTTCGCCCCGCCCAAGAATCGAACCCAGATCCTCTCGCTTGCGAGGCGAGTGCTCCAACCAATACTCTCCAGGGCTCTTCCCAAAATATTTTCTTCAAATCCTTTAGATTTGATCTTCTTGCTCCGTGAGCCAGTGGAGACTCGATGGGCTGAATGGTCTCCTTCTGCGCTGCAGAATTGCTATGTTTCTATTCCATTACTTTTCTGTTCTCGTACCGTGCGAGCTTTATAATACAGCAACTGGTTTCCAGTGTCATCATAAACGTGATATAATATCACCAGTTTACACATTGATGCCTAAAAGGCCGTTTAATGAGATGCAATAATAATTGCATTTCAATGAAGATTTTAAATGTGAGCCTGTAAAATAACATGTTTGAGCTTCCAAAGTACCAGCATTACTGCAAAATCAATCCCTATGTCCCGAGGTCTTTACTTGCTTTACTTATTTAAAAAGAAAGGTCTTGGATCAAACATTGCACTGACGCACTTTTCCTCTACCCTGACCACAGTCTTGCGGGCTCTGCAATAGCATTGCCGTCGTAGATCATCTTGCATTTAATGGCTGAGTTTCATCGGTGTGCTCTCTTTCTGGTTGGTGTGTACTATCAGAAACCGTAGCACTCAAATCTGCAGCGACATGTCAGTCAACTCAGGAAGGTCAGATTGTGTACCATGTTGCTATTGAATGCCCTGTCATTTTCATGGGTGAAGCTAATAATAAATAATAACGACGACTTTGACTACAAATCTTACCAACTCGAGTATTTAAATTCTAGCCGTTGCCTTTGTCAAATGTATTTTTCTTTTAAATACCCGCTTAATAATGAAGAAACGTATCTGAGAAGCAGACACATAAAATTGAGTGAAGATTCATGATGCCACTTGAGTGACTTTGCTTTTGTCGTTTTGGCATGGACAGACAGGCACTCCTGTACACTTGTCCCAATAGACAGGGCCTCTACTGTATGCTTGTTCCGATAGTGAGGAGAGAGAGTTACTGTAGCATTAAATGCTAATCATCAATGCCTACATCATTTTGCAGGACTAGGCTCACACGGTGTAGTATGTTCAGGGCAATATTAATTGGGTTTCTCTTCTGTGCTGTGAGCAAAATATTTAACCGTTTACTCTGCCTGGAGGCGAAGGTGTGGGATCAACACCTTTAACAAGTTTTTATTCAACAGAAAGGCAGAAATGGTTCTCGTATTGTGTAATATTTCAGATTCTGGCCTGCCCCGTCCCAGAACATATTTTCGTTAACAAAACACAAAATACTGCAGATTTTTAGTAAATAAATACGTGCTCTTTGACTTTTGTTCGAAAAAGATGAATGAAAATTATTGTCCGTGTGGATGGATAAGCTGTTGCCATGCAGTGTTGTGTGTATGAGGTATTTTGCTGCTTTTGATAGGAATGACCTGTGATGGGCTGATGGGCACCGATTCTGATTCCAAAAAATTCAGCATTCGCTGCGGGGAGAAAACCTTTATCTTTCTGACACGTGTGAATAAAGGGGATTATTTAGCGCTCAGTCATGTGAGAGCATCGTGTGGGAGATGGGGGTAGAGCCGAACTGAGAGCTAGTACTGTAAGGGCCAGGGTAGAAAGACAAAGCTTTAAATAGATCCGACACTGGTATTTTCAATTTTCAATGACATTTGCACATCTGTGTGTATGTTTCTCATCATTAAGTATGGATTACTGTAAAATCCAAAAGAGCTTCTGTCTGTCAGCGTGTTCTTTGCGAGAGGCTTATTGTGAACTTCATCCCCTTTTGTAGTTTATGTAAAAACAGCATTGCACACATCTCTTGATCTCATGCCAAAAGCTCCAGAGGCTGATGGAATGCACCTTGTAATGTTTAAGCCTGTCGTGTCCAATGGTGTAAATGAATCTTGCTTCACACGTGAAACCCACTTTAATTCTAGCAGTGTTTTTTCTGACAGACAATTCATAATATATTTAAATCGGACCGAAGCATCCAATTACCTCTTAGCGGTGGAAGAAATTCCATTCCATTGTTTTCTTTTCAGGGGAAAAAGAGCCATCACCTTCTTATGTGGGAACTCTCAAACGAGCAGTGAGTTTCTAGATGAAAATGAACAGATCAGGGAGAGCCAGGTTTTGTGAAAGGTGGATCTTGTCGGAATCGTCTTAATAGTTTTGTACTATTTTTGCACTGAGGTGACAGAAAGGATGAGGTTTTATGTACAACAATATCAATTAAATTTATATAGCGCCCTTCATATAGGATAACGTCTCTTTGAGTGCTTCACAAAGGCAAGGGTTGGATTCCGAGCAAGGGAGGAGGGAGAAAGGGGAGATGACTTAGACACTGTCAAAGAGGTACTTTTTTTATATATATATATAACTGAGAGGTTCCCAGCGAAGAAATCTACAGCAACTCTCAATTTGAAGTCAGCGAGGTCAACTCTGGCGAGTTTACTTGCATTAATTATGCAGTCATCTCGTAATTGTTGGCTTTGGTATAATTGATTGTAAAAATTGCCTTTATTTTTATTTTCAGTTTTACTGCCTTTTTAACGTAAGATCCATATTGCAGGGGACTTGATGCAAGTAGAGAGCTGTGGTACTTCCTCACAAAAATGCAAACTGACGCTTGTAATACTGTAATTCCAATGCGACCAATTGTGATCTGAATCACAGGGGTATGATTCTGTGGGATTTATAGGAGAATACTGGAGTACGGGGGGAGAAACACTACTCAGAGAGCGAAGGCACATTAATTACAATGAGGTTGAGTGGAAAGCCCGATTGCAGTACATGCCACACCATTTCATGTTGGTACTCTAATGGTCGCCTAAATTGTAGGACTTGCTCGCACGGAGAGCTGCATCACAGCGGTTTGCTGACCGCGATTTCCAACACAAGCAGGGTGTGGAGAACAAGCTTCACACTTTCTTTTCCCTGGCCTGCCCTCTGGCACCCCATGTGAGAGCCCATGTGGCTCAAATCTCTATTCAGGAAAAAATGATGAGATCACAGCCGCCCACTTTTGGGCAGCACCTTCCCTCTAAACATCCCCCGAGGGTTACTATAACACCGCAGGCAATAAAACAATGATCATCCCTACATTTAGTGTAGCGCCTTTCATGTCAGGAGGACATCGCAAAGCACTTCGCAGGAATTCTGCGAAGTGACTGTGTATTTTGTGACAGCCAATTTACGCACAGCGTTGCCCCACAAACAGCCATGGAGGGAATGGGGGATTGTTGGCCAGGACATGGGGACTCTTGTCAAACAGCCCCAGAGCATCTTTAACATCCACCTGAACAGGCAGATGGGTCCTCAGTTGACATCGCATCCGCAGGACACGTCATTAATAAAACGTCCGCCTCGTGCTTTCGTACGAAACACGATCATTTTGGGCAATATCAACTAATCCCTTTTATTTTGAATTGATCTCCCCTGTGAGCTGAGGCACGTGGAAGTAAACGGTCGGCTTATGCCACTCCTTTGCTTTTGGTACTGGATGCATCGATTAGTCATGAGGGCTGAAGGACTGGGGAGTGCTGACTCCCAGTGTCCTCAGAATGTGAACAGCCAGCTACACACTTTGGTACAACAGTTGCTTCGTGAAGCTGGTCATGTAACAGTGCGAAGATGCCGACTGGGTAACAGTCCAGTGTCGTCGTCCTGCTGAAATGTGCCTTTGCTGCGATGCCTTCGGGAATTTGCTCAGTTTCTTTGATCTCTTCCAGGATAAGTGTGTCCGCTGGACAGAAGATCATAGCACTCCCGCACGACAATCGACAGGTTCGATTATTCGACATGTCTGGAGTACGTTTAACACGACTCCCTCGCAGTAATCGCCAGGTAAGTCCCGTCTTTCTGTAACCCTGGCCATTTCAGGGGCCCAGTCGGCGGGCGGGTGGGGGGGGGGTGTAAAAATGTTTGTGAACTCGCCAAATTTAACTCGGAGCTCATAAATACGAAAATTATTATCAGGGAAAATCTTTTGCGGTTGTCAAAAACGATGAGATGCTATTGTCTTAAATGTATGTCGAAGAGGAGCATCTTGTGACGGGGCCTTGAAGAACAGTCCCACAGGGCGGGGGGGGGCAGAGAGGCTGAAGACCTGACCGCCGGTGGTGGGAGGCGGGCCGGGCGGGGGGGAACGTGGAGCAGGCCGGAGCCCGCTGAGCGGAGGGAGCGTCCAGGTCTGTGTGGAGTTAGCAGTAGGTCGCAGAGGTAGGGTGGGGGGAGAGAGCAGGTGCTGCGAATGGCTTTGGAGGCGAGGACGAGGACGAGGGTTTTGAACTCTTGTCACTGACAGAACCAGTGACAGTTGGGAAAACTGCGTTGACGGTAGCGCCTTTCACGTTGGGAGGGCGAAGTCCATCGGGAAAACTCAACTTGTTTTGTGCTGAGGATTGTGCGACTCGAGCCACGTTTGGACCGTTTTGTTTTCACACAGGGACATCGTCGGATGGTGTGCTGCACAGCGTGGAGCGAGGACAATCCCACGTGCAACCTCTTTTCCTGCGGTTTTGATCGTCAGGCCATTGGCTGGAACATCAATATCCCGGCGTTGTTACAAGAGAAATGAAGACGTCCCAGTGTTTTGGAAAATCGATGGTTAATTACGGCCATCACATGCTTTTTTGTTTCTCTACTGCTGTTATTGCTGTGAATCTTCCCACCGGGCAGAGCGAGAGTTGGTGTTACAGAGCTGGCTGGACATGCAAGTTTGTGCGTGTCAAGCCTCCGAAACTGTGCTTAGTTAATAAGCCGATCTTGTGTACAACAATATATAAGTATTTCTTTAACACGTTTTGTCATTTTGGGTGTTCTTCGCTGGTCGTTAGAATTGGTTGACCTTAACTGCATACTTCCAATGTTACTTATTTGCACAGGATGGTCATATCTGAGTTCTGAAGCAGAGAGAGAGCAGGGTGGTTACTGGATGACTGAAACAGTGTGAAGCACAGCTTAATGTAAATTATGTCACGGTCAGAGTGGTGTTTGGTGTTACCTGAAGATTCTACATATCTGCCTTTTTTTTTGCCTCGTGGAAAACGCAGGGTTAGACGGTAGGAGTCTGGTTTGAATCTCATCCGTGGTGTGTTATCCCTTCCCATTCTCTTTTCACACAGTAAGTATTTGACATTACGCACATTTCAGTGGAACTTGTGATAGATAGAAGTATACCCACTTAGATCTTTTTAAATTTAGTAATGTATAGAACTCCAAACGTGACTAGTAAGTGTCCGACAAGTGGTGGTCGTGTTCGATGTCTGCTGAATTGTAACTGAATTTGATGTAGTTATTCATCTGGGGTTGTTCACCTGGTGTTTATTCATGGCATGGCTCCTACATGTATTTTATTGAACCTGTACAGTATCAGGGTCAAGTATACCACTGATTTTTTTTTGTCGTCAGTCAATTATTCTAAATTGTGTGACTTCTCAGTCAATATTTAAAAGCACAGAGACCGGCCTTCATTCAGTCTGGTGTTGCATTCCGTGTTTAGCAAAACACAAAAGACCTCTTTTATCCAGTGGTTTAATGTCGTAGACGTTCGGGTCAGAGCTGCTAAAATCTCCAGCGATCGGCGCAGTGAGAAATTGTGAAAAGGATATCGATGGTTTGTGGCAGCCACATAGAAGGCAAAATATCACCCGCGTTCCAGGAGAGGAGTCCCATGAACACCTTTAATTATCGCCCCGCAGGAAGGTTTGCTGAACAGCGTAGAACGGGATGATTTGAAGCTAAACCCCTGAAACTGTTTAGAGCAAAGTAAGTGTTCCGATTCACCTGTTGATTACGCAGTTTTATGTTCGATAGTCGAGGCAAACTCAGTGTGTTACACGCGTAGCCTGGTGCTGGTTTGAGTACCTGGAAAGGAGTATTGTGATCTCTTTTTTTGTCTGATTTGCTCGTGTTCCAGTAACCCAACAAATGTTATTCATCATCCCCGACCCCCCCCCCCCATTGTTCCACTACTGTTTCTGCCGGTCCCTTTGACGGGTTTGATCTACGTGTAAAGGTCTCGTCAGCAGTGTTCGGAATTAGCCCTTTCAAATCTCGCTTGAAGTCTATGGGACTAACTCGACTGCATTTGTAATTTATCTTCTCAGCTCCAGCCTGGCTTTTAGTGCACTTCATTTTCTTGTGGCAGCACGACTTGGGGGTAGAGCAGTGTGTTTCTGGGGATGTCCTGCAACATGGCCCTTTTGTTTTTATATAACGCTTTGGATTTTTATTTCACTGAATGAAACCTTTTGTTGGCGCCCAAATCAGCAGCCTGTAATCGGTTTCAAAAATCTCATCCCAGATCATGCACACTACGTCTGTTTAATGTATTATATTGAAAAAAAAGCATGTTTCTGATACTGTTACAACATATGGCACTTTACAAAGAGAGCACTGGGTATTCTGTTGTTTAAGCATTTTAAGAGTTTCTTTAGGTCAAAATTGTAGGATTTCATAGGGTAGAACGATCACTGAACCATTAAATGTTCAAACTGCTCATTTCTTTTTTTTGTTGGCATATATTTGATTGCACTGAGTTCACACTTGTGTTCATGCCACTTAAGTAAAACCTGGTTCTTTCTTTCAAGCTTTTAAGACAAACTTGTTGCAGCGGTATATTCGGTATATTCTCTATGGCATTTATTACACTGTAGAAGTATAATATCTCAAATACAGCTGAGAGAGAGAGAGAGAGAAAGATGTGTAAAGGCAGCTTCTCTTCTGAAAGCAAGTGGAATGCACCTGTAGGTGGACATTCATCAATAGTTGTAAAAACTACAGGGAGCGTTTCTTCAAAGGAGTTAGATTGCTGAACAGACTGGTAAATGGGATTTCTGACCCAAAATGTTACTCGCAGGTAACACCTTGTCCATTTCTGCAGTGGGTTCACGCGGAACACAAGACGTGATCTGAATCAGTCCCACAATATTGCGAAAGAGAGCGGCAAAAGTGTTTTAAAATTGCAGACACTTACAAAGAGTGCATTATCGATGCAAATATATCAGTGTTTCTGCAGCAGAAGCACTGTTTGCTCCCAGCTTACCTACCAGACAGTATTTTAGCATGGCAAGGTTCAAATATTAATTTTTTTTTAAAAAGCCTGAGTTAAAGGTATAACAAAATAATCTGTGTGGGGGCTGAATTGTGTTTAATTCTATTTCAGACAATGCAATTGTATATCGGTAGTTTTTGTGGCACAGGGGCATCACTACACAGCTCCGTTTTTCATGCCAGAAGCTACAACGGAGATAATGACCAGAAATTTGAACCCATGCAAATTTGTCAGTGAAGTTGCTACTCTGTTTTGCTGATGTGCCGATGCAGCTATTTTCTGCACATTTTCGGCTGTTCTTTTTGACAGGGGAAAAAATCATTTAGTGGATGAAGAAGTATATATTCACTTTATCTATGGAACAACAAACAGAAGGCAGCATTCAACAGTGTGATCTGGTTGGAGGTGAATATATTGATTCAAGCCAGTGATCAGAGGGAGTGTGGTTTTTTTTTGGATTGTGTGAGTGTTCTCAATCCCAACTTGGTCTCAAAGTAACCCTCTTTTTAAAAAAAAAGTTTTTGTAAGTGCTTTGAAATATTATTTTACCTACATAAACTACGTAAATGCAAGTTGTTTCACATTTCACATCTACTTTTGGTAAAAACAAATCAGCTGTCACGTGTTCCACTGAATCAATTAAATCAATCGTTCAAATTGTCTTTTATTTTCTCTCCTGGAATTGCACTGTGTATTTCTTTAATAATTGTATATTTTGTGTTTAGGTTAATAGGAATTATAAAATCTCAATAATAAATCGGGTCTTCTTGTGTTTTCTTGGCCATCGAATAAGAGTGTTTTATATTCACGACGAGAGTTGTAGAGTTTTTACTGAAATCAAAGTGCAACTTGTACAGTAGGATTGGAATTGTGTAGTATATTGATTAGCTTGCTCGCCTCACAAGCAAGAGGCCCTGGGCTTAGATACCTGGGCAGGTGAAACTCAAGGCAAGTTTCATTACTCACCCGCCTCTATTTACCGAGCGCTAAGTAGAAACCTGGTTGTTAGTTGGTTGACGGATCACTTTCCGGGGGTAATAAAAATCCAATCAATAAAATAATTTATTTGCGGGACACTGCTGTGCGCAATTGGCTGCCGCGTTTCGCCCACAAAACATACAGTCAACAACAACAACATGATTACATTTGTATAGCGCCTTTCACGTCGGGAGGACGTTCCAAGGCACTGCACAGTGGACAGCGTTTCAGACCCGAGCTGGGGTCAGGGGGAAAAGGGAGGGGAGGGGAAGGGGGGTGGCCGATGGCACGGTCGAAGAGGAGGGTCTTGAGGCGGGACTTGAAGGAGGCTAAGGAGGGGTGAGGCGGAGTGATTGGAGATGGAATTCCAGAGGTTGGGGGCAGAGTGGCTGAAGGCTCTCCCGCCAATGGTGGGGCGGGTGGGTGGGTCAATTCACTTTACAGTATATTCTGTGAAGCGCTTTGAGACGGCTCAATGGCGTGTGATAAGGTACAATATCAAATGCAAGGATTACTTTTTTTTTTACAGCAAATTGTGATGTAAAACGTCCTTTCACGCCAAGTACACCAAGTAAGCAGGTTACCTTTTCAGCTCAGTCCTACACAACTGCACGTGGAAACCCTACAAACTAGAGTACATGTGAAACGTACAGAAGAATAGTTTATAATCGCAATGAAATCCCCTTCCCAAACGGACTTGTGAGGTGTCCTCAGCACTGAGCCGTGCAGGCAGAAAGGTTGCAGCTTTGACTCCCGTTCCATCGGGCTAGGGCAACAGTTTGGATGCTGCGATTTAATTTTACGGAGAGAACGCGTTGAATCGTTAGCACACAGCAATGTCCCGCAAACAGCCATGAGGTGAATGACCAATTTCATTTGGGGGGCGGGGGGGGGGGGGAGGATTGAGAGTTCAGAAAGTTTCTGAGAAAACTCCTTTCCCTTCTTGAATAGTGCCGTGTGGGATTTTAACGTCAAATCCCAGTGACCGCCCTTCCAAAAATGAAGCAGACCCCCACCCCCCCAACACTGCACTCGAGTGTCGATCTGGACGATGTGAATTCACAATCCTGACCTAGGGATTGAACCCACAACCTTCTGACAGCGAGGCGAGAGTGCTACCGATTCAGGCTGACACGTTAACAGGGTTAGAATCGCATGGGATGCCTTCCGTGATCAGATGGGCCCTCCACGCCCAAATACTCCACACGCACGCCTCGGTAAGTAGGAACCGACTTATCAGTCGGATGGCTTTCTGGAGTTAATCCCTCTAAAGAATAAATCAAAATAATAATAATTTGGTCACTCAATCCAGGACTTTCTGTGGGGTGTCGCTGTGCGCAATTGGCTGCCGTGTTTCACCCGCAAAACACGCAGCCACTACACTTTACAGTGTATACCGTGAAGCGTTTTGAAACGCCTCGAAGACGTGATCAGGCGATATATCACGTGCAAGGATTATTATTATTTATTATAAATGGCCTGCTGATATTCACTTATCTTGCCTCGCACTTGAAGGATGAGATGGATCAAAGGGTCCTCTTCATCTGAACCAATCTTGCGAATGACCGAAGGGGTAAAGTACCATCGTGCTCGGCTATTGTGGGAGCCCACAGAAAGCTCCTGTCTTGCGTTTTCTGCTCGGTTTAGTTCAATTACGAAGGCTGCTTTCTTTGCCACACAGACCGTTCAACGCCTTCTCTGTAAAACTGCTCGGAGCAGCTTCACACCGTACGGAGCGTTTAATAATTAGTGGTTGTGATCTGGTCTTCTTGCGGGTTTCAAATCAGCGTTTAAAATGTACTTGGATCTGACTGGCTTATGTTAAGTATCATGGGCCACTGCAGCAGTTGAGAAATTAATCCTCAGTTAAAAATAAAGAGGCTGCTTTCACAACAAGAGTGCCTCAGTTGCTGAGATAGTGCAGTATTTGTAGAAATATAGGAGCTTGAACTTATTCCCTTACATCCTTGGATACTGCAACAGCTTGAGGTAGGAAAGACATTTTACAAGCTTAAAACCACAGAAACTTGAATTTAAGCCTCTTATTAGGATTGGTTTCATTTTGATATCAGATCTCCACCTCGCTCCTTTGGGAGCACTTTCACCAAACGTTCCTGCTTCAAGCCCTACATCGGGTTCAATCTGGACTGACTCTCCCGACGCATTGCTGGGGGAGCGTTGCATTGTAACAGGTGCTGTCTGTCGGGTGAGACGTTAACCCGAGGTTCTGTTTGCCTGTTCAAGTGGACGTTAAAGATCGCACGGCACTTCAAAACACTTCTGCTGAAAAATTTAAAGATCTCCTGTCTTGCATCCTCTTCCAGGGAAAAACACTGGCCAAGTTTCCTTACTCCACACGCCACTGTTTACCTCGCAGTAGGTAGTAACCCGGTTGTTAGTCGATTGACGGATCGCTTTTCCAGGGGAAATAATTCCTTTAAAAAATAATAAATTGATCACTTCAATCCACCGCTGTTTGTGGGGACGCTGCTGTGTGCAATTGGCTGCTGCGTTTCACCTACAAAATATTACAGTCAATTCACTTTATAGCATATTCTGTGAAGCGCTTCGAGACGTCTCGAAGACGTGATAAGGCGCTATATCAAACGCAAGGACTATTATTATTATTTTTATTATAATGGAATGGCCAGTAGGGGGGACAATGAGCAAATCAAACGTTTTATTTTGAGACGCAGTACGTAAAATACCGGGACATTTGAGACAGCTCTTGTTGCAGGGAACGCTATCAAACATTAAAGTTTCTGACCGTTCCTAATCTGTGGCAAATAACTAATGAAAGAAAACACTGTGGGGATATTCACCAGCGTGGTTATTAAAGTAGGAAATCAAATACAAACGCCTCATTGCGGGATGTTTCACGGATCTGTGCCCATGTAGAAAATATGTCAAGTGACTAAATGTACAGGGTGTCCACAAAGTCCCGTTACCCCCATTACAAAACAGCCATGTGAGACAACGGAGGAGCTGAAACAAGCCTCAGAGATGCATTTCTCCTCCTCACTCCATCCACGTAACGGAAGATGAGGTACTGATCATTATCAGCCACGAAAATGATGGCTCTCACTCACTCACTCACACTCAAGCCCGAACCTCTGGACGTCTAAATACAGTTAAACACTTGCATTGACTACAATTAAATAACTTCTACTAAACACAATGATCATCATTCTTCCACATGTTTCAGTTATTGGTCAGTGCACTGTAGGAAAACAATAATAATAATAATCCTTGCATTTGATATAGCGCTTTTCACGTCGGGAGGACGTCCAAAAGCGCTTCACAGAACACACTGTAAAGTGAATTGACTGCATATTTGTGGGCGAACGCGGCAGCCAATTGCACACAGCAATGTCCCACAAACAGTCGTAGATTGAAAATGACCAATTTTTATTGTTGGTTTTGGAGGGATTATTATTAGGCTCTGTGTGGAGTAAGGAAACTACAGGGGTAACAGGACTTTGTGGCCACTCTAGACAATACCAAGCAAGCATTCAGCAATTAATTGAGCTAGTAGTTCCGATATCTTTTATCAGCGTCACCTCAGCCCTTTCCTGTCTGAACAAATAGTTTGTGAATTTGTTTTTAGAATTGATTACTGGTTAGAACATCATTGCTCTCGTTAAAGAATTAATGAATAAACCACTCCTGGCATTGTGTAATTCGTTGAACCAAAAGCTATCTTGTTGAAACAGACTTGAGATATTTCTAGTTTGAAATTCTGGAACGAGACACTGCCTGTCTCTCTTTTGATACTTGCCTCCTTTTCCAATTAAAATAATAATTGTAATACATAATAACATACATATTATATTAATGATCCTTTGCGTTTGCTGCAGCACATCGTCACATCAATGAAATGCCAACCCCAACAACTTGCGTTTATGTTTTGGAGTGCTGGAATATCTCAAAGCGCTTCACGGGATTTTGCCATGAAGTGGAGTGACTGTGCATTTTCTAAATCAGCGTGACAGCCAAATTTGTGCACAGCAATGTCCCACAAACTGCTATGAAGTAAGTGACCAATCTTGCTCGGAGGCTTGTTGGCCAGGACGCGAGGAGAACTCTCTCCCCTTTTCGAACAGTGCCGTGGAATCTTTATCGTCTCCCTGACCAGGCAGACGGGGCAAATGTTTAACAACTCATCTGATGCACTTCTTATAATGGAGTCCCGTAGCTTAGTGGTTGGAGCGAGAGGACCTGGGTTTGATTCCTGGGCAGAGCGAAACCTGAGGCAAGTTTCCTTACCCCACACGCCTCTGTTTACCTAACAGTAAGTGGTGAACCCGGCTGTTTGTTGATTGGCGGATCACTTTTCTGGGGGTGATAATTCCTTCAAATTTGTTTTAAAAAAGAATAATAATTTGGTCACTCAATCCACGACTGCTTGTGGGACGCCGTTGTAAGCAATCGGCTGCCGCGTTTCGCCCACAAAATATTCAGTCAATTCACTTTACGGTATATTCTGTGAAGCGCTTTGAGACGTCTCAAAGATGTGATGAGGTGCCATATCAAATGTAAGGATTATTATTGTTATTATTATATACAATACAGCCCATTCTCAGCACTGAATTAAACAATTTGATCCCCAGCTCGGGTCCAAAACACTGACTGTCCAGCGCCTTGGGACATTTTGCCGACGTGAAAGGCGCTATACAAATGTAATTTTGTTGTTGTTGTTGTTGTGAAAGTATGATTCAATATTTTCATTAGCAGTTAAGCAAGTGGCCCAGATTTTACATGGAATATGTGAACATAGGT